TCCATCACTTGCAGGAGCCACGAGCGCATTAGAGCGCTTTCTGCTGACCGAATCCCAGACTCAGCCCTGGCTCCCATGGAGAAGGGTCAGTCTCAGAGAGAAAGAAGAAAGAGAGGAGAAACCCACCTGCCACAGGGGAAACCAAGGGTGGCATTCCCAGGGGTCTGGTGCTTTCTTTGCTGTTTTTCATGCTTTTGTTACAAAAGTACCTTTCTGAACTGCTGAATTTGTTCAACTCTGCCGTCATTTACTCACCCTGTTTACTCACACCTGTTCTTCCAAACCTGTATGAAAATGTTATGGTACAACTATGGTTAACCTTACTTACAGTGATATATTGTTTTAATGCACAAAAAACATTAATCAAATTCCCTGTGACACTTCACATTTATTTGATAGTTTTTACATTTAAATAATTGTTTCTGCTTAGTTTTTTATGTAAGTGAAGGTTTTTTGTAGTTAAATTCATATTTATTACACTATTTTAGTGTAGTGTGTGCTACCATGATGGTGTTTTGTATTTGTGCATATGTTACCGTGCATCTTCTATATACTGTATTAATATTTACCTCAGCTTGTGAAAAAGCTACTTGTTCATGTGACTTTCTCTTTACCACCTGGGCTTTTATGGTTGTCATTAAATTATAAATTTGCAAAACTAAAGTACTTTTGATATATTAACATTATATCAATTAATTAATTTTCTCTGTTTTTTTTTTTAAACAGTAAATTTAAGTTCAATCCACAAAACTTCAAATGTTGCTACCATAAAATAACTCTGTAAATAACTATAAATAATAAAGACAGAGCATCGCAATACAAAAAACAAAAACAAGAGGACAGTCTGTGCTGCAAAGGAGATTACGGCAAGACCGTCGTTTCCTACAATCAGTAAATAGTTACTGAAAAGATTTTTGTTACTTGCAAAAAAAAAATTGTTTTACCATATTTCTTTCTTTCTTTTTTTTTTTCCAATGCGCTCCAAAACATTGACTTCATTGTATTGACAGAAAATCACTGAGGCGTTCCTCAAATATCTTCTTCTTTCTTCTTTCTTTCTTTATTTTATGAGTGAACTATCCCCTTAATGTTGCTTTATCCTGAAGGTGTAGCAAATTAGCAAGAAAAGCCCTCTTTCTGCTCTTCCTCTTTCTTTTCCTGACGGCGGTGCCACTAAACAGCCGTCAGCAGACACCTGGCAACTGATAGATGTTTAATGCATGATGGGCCACTATCGAAAGATCTGTGAATGCGCACATACACCGCTTGTTTCTCATGGTGCTGCATGTTGTTTTAGCATAAGCTGTGGGGCAGGATTTAAAGATGCCTGAGTGCATTTGGGTTGGTCTGCGAGCTGTAACTTGTGGCTGTTAAGTAACCGCTTGCGTGTGACATGAGGAGTGAGAGGCTGCATGATTGGCCAGATCGCAAAGTGGTTTAGATGACGTATAATGGCAGAGTCCAAAAGCGAAGTACGTGTGTGGATGTTTCAGAGGTGTTGTTTGGGATTATTCGGTCAGACTGAGTAAGGGCTGAAAGCACTTTTTGGTGTTTGTGTGTTGAGTGTGTGTGTGTGTGTGTGTGTGATCGGGATGATGGGGATTATTAGCTGTGAGCTGGAGTGCTGCTGGTCTGAGATGGGCTTTCACCTTCTGAAGTCCTGCCGGCTTTACAGTCTCTCCCTACAGGAATTTTGGCACCCACACGGCATCTTTGTTTTTGAGCCCTTTCTGCAGTGAAGATGCTGTTTCTCACTGTGGTGTGTCGTTTTTGCGTTGGCCTCTTTCAGCCAGGCCCTGCAGGGTGTGAGAGGAAGACGCAGTGTGGCTGTAGCTCATAGGACGGACAAAATGTTCACACCTCTGTGGTCTTGACTTCATAACCTACCCTATTTTTTTTTTTCTTAAACATATACACAAACATAGAGCAAGTATTAATAACACCAAGTGGCTGTGACCTTAAGTTGTTTCCTGAAAGAGTGATGGTTTGTGGTCTCTACTGCGTGACAAACCGCTCATGTTAAAGATAGACTGCTGTTTAGTGTTTTCAGCAACTGGATCTTGGATGTTCAAACTCAAGCTATCGGGGTTATGTGATGCATGTTTTTCATGTCCAGCTGCATTATTAAAATACTAACAGTAAATTATGTCCTAAATTACATAAATTACTAGAGGTCGACTAATAGTGGATTTTACCGATACTGGTAGCTAGGTTGGACCACACTGGCCGATACCCATTAATCAACCGATAGTTTTTCAAATGGATACTGAACAAAAACTATAAAATAGTGCTTTACTATTTAAAAAAAAACAGTACTGAACCATACTTTGTAAATTAATAAAAATAGTAATTTTAATTATTATATTGATCAGTAAAGTTAGTTCATAGTTTATTAACTAATGTTAAAAGAAGAAACCTAAAAGATGTATTAGTAATAGTAAATGTTGAAATTAATACACTCTAATAAGGAACAATACTTACAAATGGACTCCTATTGTGAAGTGTTACCATTTCATTTCAACAGTCATGCTTAAAGATGGCCATCTTTAAATATCTACACAAAGATATATACATCCAGATATTGTATGTATACTCACACTCTTTATTTGCTTCTATTCTAGACACTTGTCTAATCAAAACAACAAAATTTTGGAAAGAAAAAAATGCGACCTATATATTATAGCTCAATAAATAAAGCATACAGACTTTATTAGAGCCACAGAAAGACAAACGTTTTGCTGAAAAATGCACAATACACAATTTTACAGCCTGGGGTGAAGATTTGGGACAAATATAATGTAATTTAATGGAAAAGTATGTGAATGGCAGGATTTTCTGTCAGCTGCATTTAAATCCACATCTGAAGTTCTTGCTCTGTGCAACCCGGAAAACTGTCGGCATGGATTTTTGCTGATAACTGATAGTTCCAGCAATGAACTATCGGTGCCGATTAATCACCACCTCTATAAATTACACAAATACCTGTTTTCAAAACATTAGACCCATATTTTTTCATGATTGCTGTTTTGAAAATTGGTTGATTTTTCTGAATACATATTTTTTGATGTTACTCTTAATGGTATAATTTTAAAGTGTGCAATTTTACACAGTGGAATAATCTACTTCAGTTTTTTAAAGTTCAATACAAGTTAACCTCTTTGGACAGTGTCTGTGACATACTTTTGATTACCAGAGAGCAAATCTCAAAATGAATATCCATTTCATTTATTTAAGCAGAATTGTGGAATATATATAACATTAAATGAATTATCTTTATGAAATGAATTATCTATTAAATTAATCGCATAAAATGCAATTAATTATCGACTTAAATGTACTGTCTGGAATCGATACGGTTTGAATATCCTTCATTTACAGAAATTAATTTACAGATTAAACATTTAAATATACGTTATTTAAAAAGTATAGCCACAAGATTTTGCACATTATTTGGAACAGTTCAAAAGTTTGGCTTTTGAAACACAAACTCTCTTATGCTCACAAAGGCTTCATTTATTACTAAAAACTAATTTTAATTTAAAGTACCTGTTTGAACATATTTTAGAATGTATTTTGTACCTGTGAAGGCAAAGCTGAATTTTCAGCATCATTACTCCAGTCTTCAGTATTGCATGATCCTTCAGAAATCATTCTAATATGCTGATTTGGTGCTCAACAAACATTTATTATTATCAGTGTTGAAATCATGATACATTTTTTTCCAGATTCTATGATAAATAGAAAGTTCAAAAGCAGCATGAATTTAAAATACTTAAAGGGTTAGTTCACCCAAAAATGAAAATTAGACTGTGTTTTACTTACCCTCGAAGCATCCTAGGTGTATATGACTTTCTTCTTTCAGACGAATCTAATCGGAGTTATATTAAAAATTGTCCTGGCTATTCCAAGCTCTATCATTGCAGTCAGCGGGTGTTGCAGTTGAACAGTCCACAAGTCGTCAAATAAAGCGGGCGCATTCATAATAAAACGTGCCACTTGGAATAGCCAGGACCATTTTTAATATAACTCCGACTGGATTCGACATCTAGGATGCCTCGAGGGTGAGTAAAACACAAGCTAATTTTCATTTTTGGGTGAACTAACCCTTTAAAGTCTTTGCTATTACTGTTGATAAATATAATGCATTCTTGGTGAACAAAATAATTAAATTGCTAAATTTTTTTACTGATCAAATACTTTTGAACGGCAGTGTTGTGTGAGAATAGTCTCGCCTACCAACCTGCCTGTGCAAAGTTCCTAATTTCAACTCCTGTCATGACCATGTAAAACCAGTAATGTTTTTGCATGATATTTAACAGGAAGGGACATGATGCAACTATCCACAAAATATTGTTGATATAGAGACAAGTACACCCACAGGAATAGTAGGTAACAGATAGCTAGAATTTCATCCGCCATGAATGGTAGCATCACTGATGGGTGCACTTTAAGGGTGCTTTCACACTTGGTTCGCTTGCCTGGTCCGAACCCGAGTTCAATTGCTTCCCCCTGCCCCTGCTGGACTGCATTCATATTATTTTATTTGGGTCCGAACCGTGGTTCGTTTGCGTCAAGCCAGCAGCTGTTTACCCCGTTGCTTAGTAATGACGGCGCAGGAGAAGGCGGCAAATGCATAACATTGCTCTCTGCACTTTTATATATTTACGTTTTTGAACCGTTCGTTTTGTTTACAAAGCTTCGGTACATAACGGCACTTGCGTCTGTCTTACGAATGTACTGCAAATGCTCTAAAGAACACTGAAGGTGTACAGAAACCCGAACAGCTCACCTGAGTTCGGAAGACAGCGTTCACATCATCCAAATGAACCGAACTCTGACGTCAATCGAACCCGGGTGCGCACCAAAAGTGCTAGTGTGAAAGCACCCTAAATCTCAAATAAATGCAATTTCAGGATAAATCAAAACCCTCCCCCCTTTTTTTGGAAATTATTCTGTAATTCAGCTTTGTTAATAATACATACATGTGTCTCTTCTTATAGGTGATTGTTGATACCCCGACCAGTCCCGTGACCAGTGGTTTACCTCTGTTTTTTGTCATCACAGTGACGGCCATCAAACAGGTTGGTGGTGATATGTTCTGAATATGCTCCTGTCTCTCTATATTACTCTTTAGATATCACTAAATCACTTGATGTTTTATAGCCATGTGTCACTGTTTAAATAATGCCGACCCCTTCCGAGAGTCCGCCTGACCTCTGAATCCATCTCTCACAGACAAAACAAATGATCCGGGGGCTTGTCACAACACAGTGGTCCTCTCGCAGCTTTAGATGTATTGTTTTAGGATCAACTTTTTCCACCCGCCTGCCGCAAGCTTTTTTTGAAAAGCACAATGGAAGGTGGACTTCCTTCCAGATATCTGTGGCCTCACACTGAGAGGGGCTCAGGCCTTAATTGGGCTTTGAAATAAGAGCCCGGGGGACTATGTGACCCCAGCCCACTTTGACTTCAAATGACTCAACTCCCTCAGCTCATTCGCACAGTTTCCATTATTAATATTGATGGAAATTCTCAGAGAATTGTTTTATTTTTGCATGTGAGATGATGTGTTAGACTGTCTCAGTCCTCATTTTACCTTCTGCAGTTTTCACACACACCAGTGTACTGTTCTCACATTCTCTGTGTCTCTCCTCAGGGATATGAGGACTGGCTGCGGCATAAAGCAGACAACGAGGTGAATAAGTACCCGGTGACAGTGTTAGAGGATGGCCGGTCGGTGAAGAAGGAGAGTGAAAAGATCAAGGTATCTTTTAGTTGCTGCACCCTCTCCAAGTCTCTCATATAACTGGGATCGTGGGAGCTGGGAGTGGCAAGCTGCCGTACTTTACGTGTGGACAAAAATATGCCCACTAGGGGCATTCCCATCCGGGGGTGTTTCCGTGCTGTATATGGAATGGAACAAATGTGTTGTACATTGTGAAACAGTTAGGGTCAAAGATGTTTGGAAGAGTTTGCCAATACAGATAGCTGAATGTCAATTATTTGTGTTGTAGCTGATATCCACTTTTGTAAGCATACACTACCGTTTTTAATGATTTATTTTTTTCAGCAAGGATGCATTAAACTGATCAGAAGTAACAGTAAAGGCATTTATAATGTTACAAAATATTTCTATTTCATGTAAATGCTGTTCTTTTGAACTTTCATCAGAGAATCCTGAAAAAACGTTTTTCACAAAAATATTAAGCAGTGCAACTGTTTTCAACATTGATAATAATGAGAAATGTTTCTTGAGCAGCAAATCAACATATTAGAATGATTTCTGAAGGATCATGTGACACTGAAGACTGGAGTAATGATGCTGAAAATTCCGCTTTGCCATCACAGGAATTACATTTGAAAGTATACTAAAATAGAAAAAGTTATTTTAAGTTGTAATAATATTTCACTTTATTACTGTTTTTACTGTATTTTTGATCAAATTAATGCAGCTTTGATGAGCATATATTTTCGCTATATATTCCCATATTTTACAGTAGATGTTATTACAAATAGCAATCACGTACCCAAACACTCTCACTTATTAAGACTCTTTTACATCAAGAATAGAAATATTCATCAAAATGGTATTTTAAAAAATGTCACTAATATTACTTATGGTCTACAGCCCCAAATTAGTCATCAAGTGGTGGCCCAACATGATACCAAAATTGTTATTTGTATGTCGATTTAAATTAATATAACCAATAACTACATAGGCTCTTGAATATGCAAACTTTAATATGACATTTTATAGAAAAAGTGACAATTTTATAAAAACAGCAGAGACACGTGTGGATGTAACTTCATTTTACCTCAAGTTTTTAGTATTTCCATTATATATTATTTTAAAATTATATATTTTTATTACAATATTTGCACTTAGCATTGTATTTTGAATCTGAACAGACTTGTGACCCAGCAGTTATGAAGCACTGACCTGTGGTCTTGTGTAAAACTAAATCTTGTGTTAATGTCAATGTGCTTCTGGTCAGGTGGGCGATGTGGTTGAAGTGGTGGAGGACGAGACCTTTCCCTGTGACCTGATTCTGTTGCAGTCTAGTCGAGAAGACGGTACTTGTTTTGTCACCACAGCCAGCTTGGATGGAGAATCCAACCACAAAGTGAGCTTATGCATTCAGTCTTATATCATTTCTGCTGTTTTTCTTCTTGTAATCACAAATATAATTGTCTTGATATAATGTAGATTTTATTCTATAGTTTTTGTTTTCAGAATTGCCTAGAGTGATTTCTGTTCAAGTATAAACAGAATATGAGATATGGATTCATATACCATTCCTTTACTCTCCTTTAGCCAAAGTCTTTAAATAGGTGGCCCAGATCTTGTCATAATCACCCTTATGCTCCTAGTCTTTCTCCCACTTCCATCCGTCTGTATTTGTGTGTACAACATGACCTGGAATACTAATTTGCCTGTCTTTCCCGCAGACACACTACACTGTGCCAGACACAGAGAAGGACCTGCAGGCTCTCCCTGCCACCATCGAGTGTGAACAACCCCAGCCTGACCTCTACAAGTATGAACTCCTCTAGCACAAACACTCACTTAGCCGAAATCCCTTTCGCTGCCTCATGATGAAACAGAAGGCATTGCGATCATTCTTGAATATGTCAAGTCCAGTTTCAGCTCAACTGTTCTCTGTAGGATGTTTGATTTCAGATCAGCAGCTAATGGTGTGATTCCATGGAAGAGTCAGACACTATCTAGCCTTTCTGTTTGAGTATAAGAACAAACAGACCTTGAAACAAACACAATTTGCAAGTTTAGAGAGGCAGTCCTTGGCCTCCAACTGTAATGGCAGTTTAACTCAGCAGCGCCCCCTATCGTTAAAGCCTCTTTAGGCGGAAGAACATTTGCATTTCTGATTTCTAGAGCACCAGATGTCGCCTGCTAAAATTCAGTCTATAAAAAAAACTTCAAAGGGCTGTTGCCAATATGCCAGACTGTTGGGTCATCACCAATGAGCATCTTCCTTGTAATTGGTTCATTTCGTACAAGGCTCATTTGCATAGTGTACTGTACTAGAATACAGATATTATCATCAAGCCTCTTTAATGGGAAAGGAGTCTATATAAAACGAACGAAACTCTAATGCATGTGCATGATGGTGTCGGTTCTTTAACTCTACTGAATGTTTTCATTTTGACCTCATCAATTACTCTGAATTACATTCCTGGGACGTCTGTGCATTCATTCCGTGTGTGTTTGTGGTTGAGAGAACATATATGAGCGTGTACGTGCTTGACTGGAGCTTGTTTGCTCTATTGCAGGTTTGTGGGTCGAATGCACATTTACAAGCCGGAGCAGGAGCCAGCAGTAAGGTGAGACCGCCTTTGGTCCGTTCCCATGGGCCCACTATATCCCACAGTACCTCCTAGTCACTTCAGCTCTGTCTTTTCCCTTTGCATTAGCATCTGATCATTATTCCATCGACCCGTAACGCCATAGCAGCATTAAGGTAAAGCCGGCCTGGCAGCTTCTCAAGCCCTGCACGCTCTTCCATTTGTCACTGGGCCGTTTGAAATGTTTTTATGAGTCTCTACGCCATGTCCTTCACGAGAGCGGGCCAGGCCAAACCGGCCTACATATTTCCAGCAATGCTGCTCATTAGGAGCCACTTTAACGCGGGTTTGGATGCCAGGATGCTTTATTGACATAATTGTTTGTTTTTATGGTTTAATTTAGATCTTTGGGCCCAGAGAACCTTCTCCTAAAAGGTGCTACGTTGAAAAACACCAAGAAGATTTCTGGTAGGCCCTGGCACCTTTTAATTAGACGAAATATTTGATGACGAGGAATTGCATTCACCCGAATCACTCTTCGTTGCTTTTCCTTTTAAAGGTGTCACAGTATACACGGGCATGGAGACGAAGATGGCACTCAACTACCAGGGCAAATCTCAGAAACGTTCAGCTGTTGAAAAGTAAGCGAGTGACAAGAGCGTCATTATACCCTAGTGTGCAGTCAGGTTGAAATATTAATTTTTGGATTATTAGCAATGTTAATTTGAATGATTTGATATTGATTGCAAATACCAAGATTGATCTGTGTGTAAAAATATTGTCTCCCCACATTAATATTCCTGAATCAATATCAAATCGAGTGAATCAGTATGATGTGAATCAGAATTTAATTAAATGAATAACGTCTGCCAAAGTTCATATAACTAATGTATAGTCATCTATAATATCTTTATGCAGAAATTTTATTTATTTATTTCTTTTTAATTAATTAATTAATTAAAATATATAGTAGTAATTAGGGCTGCCCCCGACTAAAGATTTTTTTGGTCGACCAGTAGTCGTTCATGTTAAGCGATTAGTAGACTAATCACACGTTTATATTAATAAACCATAAATCATAGTAATGAGCGTTTAATTGCCTATGTAGCGCACGATTAAGTTTTGGCACACAGCGCACCGGCAGAAGTAATGATTATGAATGCATCAGGAAAAAAGCAAGGAGACTGCCTTAACATTTTAATTATTCGTTGATAAACCAGTGTTTGCTGTATTTTCGGCTTTTTTGTTATTGTGACTGCACACAAATAAAAGAAGAGTCTTTAAAGCTTACAGAGATGTATAACTACTATTTGTATGACCAAAAAAGTTTAAGCGCAAGTGATCACACTGGCGCGCGCTTCCTCATTCCGCACAAACACTGAAATAGCGCACATTTTTATAGGTTAACGTTAGAGCGAGCGGCGTTGCTACTACTTACATGTTTCAGATGATAATCCATATTTGAGGTCGATGAATGATAGGCGAGTGTTTAGATGCCCTGGCCGATGTCCTGTATATTACCGCATAGAGCAGCTGTTAACAAGCCACTCTCCACACAGACACTTGAACAGCGCACATTTCTCTAGGTTAACATTAGATTAAGCGGCCATGTAAAGTTGCTAATACTTACATATTTCAGATGATAATCCATATTTGAGGTCGATGAATGATAGGCGAGTGTTTAGATGCCCTGGCCGATGTACTGTATATTACCACATAGAGCAGCTGTTAACGATCTTTCGTCGCAGAATGCATGACTTCGCCACGTCCTGTGGATTAGTTTTTTTCTGCGACTAAAAAAAATGTGGTCGACTAAGCCCTTTCTCGTCGACTAATAGTCAACTATTAGGGGGCAGCACTAGTAGTAATATAAAGTAAAATAATCTTTATTAAAATAAAAGTGTGATGATGATGATGATGATAATTAAAATTTAAAATGTAATTATTAAAATTATTTAAATTAAAAATAATAAGTGAATCAGGGAAACTTTAGTGTTGTTGTGCACTAAAAGTTTTCTTAGCGTCTTATTTTGGCTTGTTTATATGGTTTTATATGTACATAACATAATTAAGTACATATGATCGTGTGTATGTTTTCTCTTCTTTGCAGATCCATCAATGCCTTTCTGCTGGTGTATCTGTGTATCCTCATCAGTAAAGCTGTTGTGTGTACTACGCTAAAGTATGTATGGCAGAGCAAAGAAGGTCAGGATGAGCCCTGGTACAACCAGAAAAATCAGAAGGAGAAAGACACTAATATGGTGAGTAGTCTGTGGATTTCACATCTGACCGATTTGAACATGATTACATTAATTAATTAGCAACTCCCTCTATATCATCTGTCATTCTTGATGCAATTAATCTAAATTCTGAGCTAATCTGGTCTCAGGTGGCTGTGGTCAGCTCTTACACAGATCATACTTAATAAATCATAATTAGGGATTAGCTTTATGTTTAACCTTTGCTGTTCCAGCCATGATATTGTGTCTTTGAAGAGACTGTGTTCTGTCTTTGTTTCAGTATTTGAAGATGTTTACAGACTTCCTCTCCTTCATGGTCCTCTTCAACTTTATAATCCCCGTGTCCATGTACGTAACCGTGGAGATGCAGAAATTCCTGGGCTCTTTCTTTATCACTTGGGATAAAGACTTCTTTGACCCGGAAATCCAAGAAGGCGCGCTTGTCAACACTTCAGACCTCAATGAGGAACTTGGCCAGGTTAGACACTTTGTTCAAACCTGAGCTCAGATCTGACTCTTTAGCTGTTTGTTTTCATTTGTAGAATAAAATGTGTTTCAGATGATTTCAGAAGTCAACCATGACATGAATATCATCTGAGCTGTCCCTGGCTCTTCCATGGGTAGTGAGGTCGTAGATCACCCTTGACTGGCAATGCAGATGATTACTCTAAATTACAGGCCATGCTTCGTTAAACTGATTTATGCAAGCAGACTGGTTTTGTCACAAATTAATTGTCCGTCCTTATCCTCAGACTCTGTTCATTTGAGAACGTGCTTTATTGCCTGGGTTTATAGTCAATAAGGTCAGCATTTGTCTGCGCCCTGTAGGTGGAATATGTATTCACAGACAAGACGGGCACGCTGACCCAGAACAACATGGAGTTCATCGAGTGCTGTATAGACGGCTTCCAGTACAAACACAGAGACACCCGGAGCGAGCTGGACGGCTTCACTGTGACGGACGGACCTGTGAATAAACTGCAGCAAAAGGCTGGACAGGTGAGTTACACTCATTCGGAGACCCCAAGGACCTCAGATGGGATTGATTTTACATTTACGGATTGCGTTGTTGGATGTGTACACCTCAATATGTAAACTGACTTTAAGCAGACCTCTTGAATTATAAATCCTGTGAGGCTGCGATATAAACACAAAGGCAGTAAACATCTAATGTTTGTGTTGGCAGGCTATGAAGGACTAAAGTTATGTGTATTTTTATTTTTTTTATTTTTTTACGTACTCATATTCATCATAAACGGGCAGTCCTTTGAGAGCACTTCTTTTGTGAGGGCCCTTGTCAGTGTGTAGTGCACATGATCTGTATACTAGGGTTGTCATAATACCAAAATGTTAGTAATCAATACTGATACCAAAGGAATTTCACTTTTCTCTACCAATTTTGATAAACAAATATGGTATTGTACTAACTACCTTTATATAAAAAAAGTTATATATTATATTATAAATATTAATGTTTATATATAAAATAATGATATTATAATAAATAATATAATGTTATTACATTATATATAACAAATGAAATTAAAACAGTGATGTAATCTTCAAGTATTTCTTAATTGAGCTTCATTTAAAGTTAAACTTTTTTTTATTGAAATAAAGTCACTAATACACACTAAAGGCCTGTTCACACCAAGGATGATAACTATAAAGATAATGATAAAGATATAGTTCTAAAAATCATTCTCAATGTTAAAGAATCGCAGAGTCCGCATCACAGCAATAACGATAAAGGCACAGAGAAACAATATCGTTGGAATCGCTTTCAGAACAATTTTTTCCAACTGATGAAAAATAAAAACGTTGACACCCAATCAGAATCAATCCTGCTGTCACGAGCTTGAGAATTTAAAGCGGCAGATGAACAGACGAAATCATCCGCTGGTGTAAACGCTAATATAGTTATCTTTATAGTTATCGATCTTGGTGCGAACGGGCCTTAATACTATTATAGTCTCTATTAAAAAATGTTATTCTATTTATGTTGTCATTTTCATTTTTTTTGTTTTTGTCAATTAGTCGTTTTTATTTTTCTATTATTTTTTTTATTTTTTTTTATTTCAGTTAGCTGCAAAGGCAACATTTTGAATAGTTTATGTAATATTTAGATTTAATTTTATTCTTTTTTTTTGATTAACAACGCTAATTCTCACAAATATGCATGTTCATAAAAAGAAGTGTCATTTTGTATGCCTCTTTATTTCAATCTATCAGGAGAAAGAGGAGTTGTTCCTGCGGGCCTTGTGTCTGTGTCACACGGTCCAGGTGAAGGAGGCTGGATCGGAAGAAGTACTTACGGACCAAGTTGACGGGATCGACGGGATGCAGCCCCAGCCAGAGGAGGAAAGAGGCTTCATCGCATCCTCTCCTGATGAGATCGCACTGGTCAGAGGAGCCATGGAGTAAGATAATGATATTTTTCTTTTTTGGTCTGATAATAACCCATGCTGGCACTTACAGGCTTAACTTCTCTCCTGTTCAGATATGGCTTCACCTTCCTTGGTCTGGAGAGCAAGAGCATGAAGATAAAGAACAGGGAAAATAATATAGAGGAGTAAGTTATGACCCTTGAAATTAGAGACTCATTAAGAACAATGTTATTGCTAATATCCTGCATTAGTACTTACACCCCTAGATGTTTTTAGGTTTTATCAAAAGTTTTATAGCAGTTAAGGGTCTATATAAGATTTATCTAACTTTCAGGTACAAGTTGCTCCATGTCCTAAACTTTGACCCAGTTAGACGGAGAATGAGCGTCATCGTGCAGACCAAATCAGGTGAGCTGGAGATCATTAGTGGTGCTTGCTATGGCTTTTGCTCATAATCAGGGATATAGATTTGAATATACAAATAACACGTCCCACACCATTCCTCCTGGTGACTTAAAAACCATGTGAGGAGGGATGACCTTTTTAGCAATTTGACTTGGTGGATAAAGCAAGGAAAATGCCATAGGTTTGCATTAAAGCAGGGACCCTAGTAGAGATTAGATTTTTTTTTAAATTATTATATGATTTAAGTTCTTTTTGACACAATATTTTGTATCTTTGTTTTAGGTCATGTCTCTCTGTTAAGGTTAAAATGCTTCATGTATTTCACTTCAGAATGAATAGCTGCTAAGTACAAAATTGAATAATTTATACTAACAGTCACTAACCACTCAGAACACAGCAACCACTTAGCAACCCCCCTGAACATCTTAGCATTGTGCTTGGGAGTTTTGCAGATGATGACTCTGAATGTCTCTCACCTCTGTCTTCTACTGTTTATTTAGGGGAGACGTTGCTTTTCTGTAAGGGAGCTGATTCTTCCATCTTCCCAAGAGTCAAACCAGAGGAGGTGGACAGGATTCGCATGCATGTTGAGCGAAATGCAACGGTACTGTAATAGATTTCAGCATGATAATGTCTTGCAGCGTCTTTAATTTCCAAGGATTAGATGACCAGTTAGATTTTTATACTGAAATGAAGCATAAACCTCCTTCATTATATCTCTGTGTTGAAAGAGACATCCTGTAGAGACATTAAATATTGAAAAGGTCAGTCAATTTTGGCCTAATGGCGTGTTTTCGCTCACCAGGAGGGTTACCGTACACTGTGTGTGGCCTATAAGCAGCTGAGTGCTGAAGAATATGCCGTGGCAGACACTGGGCTGAGGGAGGCTAGACTGGCTCTCCAGGACAGAGAGCAGAAACTCATGGCCATGTATAACCAGGTGGAGACGGGCATGAGTTTGATTGGAGCGACCGCTGTGGAGGACCGGTTGGTGACCCAAATTGGTATTTACACCATGTTGTTTTTTCAAAGGAATATTCTGAATAGCCTAACGTCTTAACATCTTGTGTTCCAGACTTCAGGAGGAGGCAGCAGAGACCATGGAGGCCTTGCAGGGTGCTGGGATGAAGGTTTGGGTGCTGACAGGGGACAAAATGGAGACGGCAAAGTCTACCTGCTATGCCTGTCGTCTGTTCCAGCGGGGTACAGAGCTATTGGAACTGACTGTGCGGACACTGGAGGATGGGAGGTTAAAGCGTGAGGAGAAACTTCTTGAGTTGTTACGGGACTACCATAGAAGAGCAGTGCAGGACGCCCCACCTGTCAAAGCTGGGGTCACCAGGTCAGACCCTTGACCTACTGGCTTTGTCGTAAATGTTTGATACAGTTTAGAAATGTAATATGACTACATAGACGACTTCTTCAGTACTGACAGATTTATTTAATTTCAACTGATGCTGATAAATAAAGGAGAAAAAGATGTAGTACACAATATTGAATTTTTAATTGCTTGTGCTTATTTCCCTTTTTTAAATAAAATAAATTGCTTAGATTTTGCGTCACGCTATTTAATGTTAATCTTAAGCAAATCTCAAGATGAATATCAATTTTTATACTTTATATTTTTAAATTCTTTTTATACTCTAAATTATATAAAAGTCATGTCCTAATTTACTTGTAGCATTTGAAACTATTTTAATTTTTAGTGTTTTATTTTATATTTATTTAGACAAAATTGTGTATTTTCAATATCAACCATTTATCAGTTATCGGTCATAACATGAAAATAATTGTCAGTTTATCATATTGGCCAGAATTGTAATATTGGTATCTCTCTAGTACAATTGTGCAGTATATTTAATGACCTCTAATTTAGTGTCATTTTTGTCCTGCAGGAGCTGGTCTACTGCAAATCAGGATTACGGCTTCATCATAGATGGGGCGACGTTGTCGTTAGTGATGAACCCATCGCGTGAGGCGGATGCCAGTCAGTACAGGAGCCTCTTTCTGCAGATCTGCCAGAACTGCACTGCTGTGCTCTGCTGCCGCATGGCCCCCCTGCAGAAAGCTCAGGTCACACCTGCAGACCGGCATTTCGGCGGCTCTTTATGACGCTTATAATAACATGCACTTATACTTTATGAATTAGTTGGCTAAAATTCTCTTTTATCCAATTTAGATAGTGAAGATGGTGAAGAACTCCAAAGGTTCCCCAATCACTCTCTCCATTGGCGATGGGGCCAATGACGTTAGCATGATCCTTGAGGCACATGTGGGCATTGGTGAGCTATGATGCTGAAAATTCAGCTTTGCCATAAGAATACATTTTAAAAAATATATATATATATATATATAAAAGTTTCACAATTTACAATAATACAGTTTTTAACTATATCTTTTTTTATTAAAGTGATCATGGCTTAATCAGCATTTTTTCAAAGATGGAGTGTAATGTTCCTATTGTGTGTTCAGGTATTAAAGGTAAGGAGGGCCGTCAAGCTGTGAGGAACAGTGACTACGCCATTCCTACCTTTTGAAGTTTTAGACGTTTTCTTATCCTCTCCTGCAGAATCTTTGCTTCATCTTACCTCAGTTCCTGTACCAGTTTTTCTGTGGATACTCTCAGCAGGTACAGTATGTACAAATAAAGGGCTTTTTAGAAGACTACGTCCCAGCAGGTCCCTCTCCTCTGCTCTTTCCTTTGCAACTTTCCTCTGAATTTCTCTCTCTCTCTGCCCTTCTTTCTTCTGATATATATAACAAGCACAAACTAATACAAAAATTAAATTAGCTTTGGTGTAGTGGTTAGTGCTTGTGTAGATTTTGCCTTGGCACTCAACAAACTCAGATAAGGGTTTAAATCTGGCCTGCATTGTGTTCGATATCTTTTTTTCTTTCTCCTCTAGTAGAGCCCTTTCACTTCTGCTTTTGCCTTCTATAAAAAAAATCCAGTTAAATCTAAAAAAAAGATTAGTGGCTCAGAAGTCTCTGTGATTCCCTATAATTGGGTCTCGACCTCACATTTTCCAGCATGTGTTTTATGTATATATATCAAGTGACTATCGCACGCGCGGCCATACAGTCAGTTTCCCTCTCTTTGTTGTGTGCATATGTGTGATCTCCTTAACGTGGTATTAACCTCCCCGGTGCCCCGTCCTTTCCCTCGTTCCCCTTCCCAGCCCCTGTATGACGCAGCCTATCTGACGATGTACAACATCTGCTTCACCTCCATGCCCATTCTGGCCTACAGCCTGCTGGAACAGCACATATCCATGGAGATTCTGCTGGACAACGCCGCCCTCTACAGGTAGCTTTCTGCACTGCAGCTCTTTTGCTTATTTCATTTGTACTGTGCTGTTGCTGATACACTGTGTTCTTACAGAGAAATAGCCAATAATGCCATGTTACGCTGGCGCCCCTTCCTCTACTGGACAGTATTAGGAATTTTTCAGGGTCTTCTGTTCTTCTTTGGTGTCCGTTTCTTGTTCAGCAATCCAGCCTTACAGGATAATGGGCAGGTTAGAGATGGTTGTGCTTTTTAATATGTCTGTGAATAAAAAATTGGGAATTGCATTTGATTTACTCCTTCCTTTTTTTAGGTCTTTGGAAACTGGTCTTATGGAACAATTGTCTTTACCGTCCTTGTTTTTACTGTTACATTGAAGGTTGGTGGCTTGGTTGGTCTATGACTATAAAAAGTGACTCAGATCTTCATTTGTCAGAGACTGACTGTTTTCCCTCTGTCAGCTGGCTCTGGACACACGGCACTGGACGTGGATCAACCATTTTGTGATTTGGGGCTCTTTGGCTTTCTATGTTTTCTTCAGTTTCTTCTGGGGAGGCATCATATGGTGAGCAAACGTTTAAGTCGGTATGAAACAGAAATCGTCCACTAGGGATTTTTTTTGTGCTGCAGCTCCACTGTTGATCATTTCCAGTCAGCTTTTATTGTAGAATGAAGTTGTATGGTCTATATCTTTCCTTCTCTCTCTTATTTCCTAGGCCGTTTTTGAAGCAGCAGCGTTTGTACTTTGTGTTTGCCAACATGCTGAGTTCAGTGTCTGCCTGGCTGGTTATCATCATCCTCATCCTCCTCAGTCTGCTGCCAGAGATCCTTTTGGTGGTCCTTCGCAAGCCCAGAGGCCCCCATTCACGACAGGTATACCTCTTCCTCCCTTTTCCTTTTTGAATTCTTCCATTCTACCATATCCATCCGATTCTCTGTTATTCCCCCTGTTTTACTTACTCTTCTGTTCTTCTTTCATCTTACACTGTGTCCTAACCAGGCGTAATGTGACACAGTCACAGCCAATAAGAAGATATTTGATGTTGTACGTTTACGTGAAGCAGGATTTTGGGACCAGTCTCAGTGACTGGTTTGCACAAAAACTGATTTACATGAAAGAGCGATAGCTTTTATTACTTGTTGCTTTATCACATCACACCTGGTTGGGACACAGAGTTACATTTTTCTTTGAACCCAGAATTACCTCCCTGCTTTTGGTTTATCCATACCAGCCAAATTTGACCTTATTTTACCTTTTAAGACCTTAAACTTTTTTTTTCTTATACTCTCTGTCACTTCTCCAGCATCTGTTTTCTTTACTTCCCCCTCACTCATGAATTAAACCATTGACTTTTTTCCTAACAGAAGTCTTGCCTGGTTTTAAGGCTCTGAATGGTTTGGATTGTTGTGATTGGTCAAACAGACAGGAAGTCAATCAGTCTAATTGTTACTATCATTCTTCTTCGATGTCCTCTCGTTGACTCCTGTAGCTTGTTGTCCCGTGTATCACTCTGATTGAAATGCCCTTTATTCCATTAGTCAAGCACAAATTCTTCCATCACCCTGTGCTGCTGTGAGTGGCTACCCAACCAGTTAACATGTAACAGTTAGAATCAATAAACAATAATTAGACCGCTCCAATCATTTGAATTATTCAGAGGAAGTAAGCACATACTGTAGGCAGTCTCTGTTGTTAGTGACACTAGTTAAGCAGCCTTTCAGGCCAGAGATGAGCATACGGTGCCAATCTGCCCCCTGCCTCCTCACAGGTAGGTGCTGCGACCTTTCCAAGTATGCCGCATGTCAATTAAAATCACCAGTGGAGAGAAAATGGAATGTATGGTCATGTCTTAATTACTTGATCTAGTAATGTCATTTATTCAGTTGTAAACCTTAATAATAAATGTAGAATTTATAGTCTAATGAATTTCATTGGAAACATGGGAAACATGGCCTTTATTGACCAATGTAACTTGTAATATGCAACATGATAACTTGTGTGTAGAGGTTATATCACAATTTGTATTATATTATAGGTACCTAGAAAGAAAGGGGAAAAAATATAGAAAACTACACATAATTACTCTTTTTGTTTTTGTTTTTTTTAAATAATGACTTAAAGAGCTTGAAAAATAGCAGAAAGTGAGTGCAGTGAGTTTAGAAGGTGGTCATAGGTGTGTGTTAATTTTCATTTTACTATAGATACAAGTGCATCTGATTAATTCAGAATTTACAGTCACTCCTACACTACTGTTCAAAGTTTGGGGTCAATACATTATTTTTTTCCCGTAAAGGAATTAATACTTTTATTCAACTTTTTTTTTTTTTTTTTTTACATAGATTACATTTAAAATCTTACAAAATGTAAAATTTAAATAACTGCAGTTATTTAGGACTGTATCTTCATCCAAGAATTAAAAAAAAAAAGAACAGTTTCTTTATAAATATTAAGCATCTCAACTTTTTTTTTAAATTTATATTGAGAATAGATTTTTATTGAGCAGCAAATCAGCATATTAGAATGATTTCTGAAGGATCATGTGACACTGAAGACTGGAGTAATGATGCTGAAAATTCAGCTTTGCATCCCTGGAATAAATTAAATTTTCAAATATATTAAAGTAGAAAAAAATGGAATGTTTCAAAGTACTGCTGTGTTTAATGTATCTTTGAGCAAGTAAATGCAGCCTTATAAACATAAATCTTACCAGCCCCAAACTTTTGAACGTTAGTGTATTGTAGAGAGTTTTTGTTGTTGTTGTTGTTGTAAATTCCTGATAGTTTAATATTTATTCTGCAGACTATAAATATCTTGCAGGATTTGTGTGCCAAGTAATTTCCACTAGAAAATTTTGTTTGTTCATAACTCAAAGAAAGCCCAGTCACTCATTTATGCTGAGCTAATCAATATTCTGCTGAATCAAACAGCACATACTGAAGGTTCTAGTTACTGGAGCTTTATAATATTTACTCTTGTTTCTCTATCTCTTCTCCCTTAACTTTACTCCCACTTTTTCTTACCCTTGACCTTCCTTTAATTTTCCTGTCCTCTTTGGTCTCTTGCTCACCTGTGTGCTGTGCTGTAGATGAAACAACGGCTTCCTTCCTCTGGAACATCCACTATCTTCATGCTGTCGCAGACTGCTAGCACTCACAGCTTTTCCTGGAGTGACTGAGGTCTCTCTGCCTGCTCCTTTTCTGCTTTTTGTCTAACTGTCCTTCCTCCTTTGGGTTGCCTGTCTGTATCTTCAGTGTCCTGCCTGCTGTCTCTCCACCCGTTTGTCTCTGCTTCCTCTTTGTGAGGGGGTGTTCGCTAGCTAGGTTGTTCTACTCTGGTACAAACGTGTTTGTCATGGGTGCTGGGTTTGGATTGTCAGTCAAAATATGTACCACAGTGGCTTTTTTTTTTTTGAGTGGGTGTTTGTCTTGAGGCGTTGTGCAAGAATTGTCCCCTGGAGTTGAGTCGTGGTGGTGGTGGGTGGTCCTCCATGTGCGTCTGTAAGGGCTGCAGGGTATATGATGGGGAATCCTTCAGCTGCCTGTTCCCGGTGTCTGCTGTCTCTGCATGCCCAGCCAGGAGAATGTGGCACACAAACATACAGGGTTTCCTGCATGCGTGCTCGGCCCAGCCTGCACCGCTCCTCACCCAAACCACTGACTTTCTGGATGCATCAGTGCTGGTTGATTCAGAATGTGATTTTGTGTGTATGTGAGAGAGAGAGTTTATCATGTTAGAATTGGGGATTGCACAAAACAAAGAAAGGAACATTTTTAGTTTGGACAATTTAAATAATTTGATATGTAATTTAAAAGACAATACAGTAATTAGCATATTTTCATGATTAAACAAAAACGTCATAATGTGATTAATCATTATTATTATTATTTCTTTATCATTTAAAATTAGGCCCCAAATAGGGTACTACAGAATGGCTTTGAGTGTCAAACTCATTAATCTACACTTGTCTCTCTGGGTTATAATTACAATTTTACCCAAATATTGTATTAAAAATATGTGATATACAGTATCGTTCAAAAGTTTCAGATTGGAGATAAGATTTTTCAGTGTTTTTGTAAGAAGTATCTAATGCTCACCTTGACTGGATTTATTTGATGAAAAACAGTAATATTTTAAAATATTATTACAATTTAAAATAACTATTTTCTATTGTAACATATTTTTAAATGGTTTATTCCTTTGATGATAGTAGATAATAGTTTTTCCAGTCTTCAAATGTCTTATGAACTTATGTCCAGTCTTCAGTGTCACATGATCCTTCAGAAATCATTTTAATATTCTGATTTGATGCGCAAGAAGCAGTTGTTGTTATTATCATTGATGAATAGGAAATTCAAAAGCAGCATTTATTTGAAATAGAAATATTTTATGACATTGTAAGTGTATTTACTGTCACTTTTTAATAAAAGTATTGAAAAAAATCTTACTGAGCCCAGAATTTGGAACGGAAGTGCAGTTAGAATCAATTATTTGGCACGTTTTCCAAAAGCACTGAAAGAATTGCTAATGAAATCATTAAGAAACTGGAATCATTATGTGAATTCGTTGGTCTTCATTGGTTAATATTGTTTGAGTGTTGGCTGACTTTTTTGTGTGGTCATATTCATAATCTAGTAAAATGGCCTTTATCATTTCTACCATGAAGGATAATCTATATGGAAATTAAAAACATGCATAAACATGTGGCCTCAAATATGAAATCTCATAATTGTAAACGTCCTTCACAGTGTTTTGTCTTCTTTGTGAAGAAGGATGTACTGTATATCAGTTTTGTGTTTGGGGGTGTGTTGTGTGTGTGTGTCTGATCCATCCTGTCCTAAGTGTCTTTCACCCCCCTCCCACCCTTTCAGAAAAAGCCAAGTCAGTCGAATGTGGGGGGCAGCCAGTCCTCTCAGTCTTCAGCCAGACCCCTGCTCATGAGAACCTTTTCAGACGAGTCCAATTCTGTCATATAAACAGGTACAAGACCCCAGACTTTCCAATCAGAGCCCCAATTGAGTGACTTACCCTAGCCATCCACAAGGGATTTGCCACCTAGTCGGTGCAGTTCCTCCCCTTGGGTTCGGTCGGCCCCCTCTGTGGGATGATTTTAATTTCCTCTGAATTCTGCTGTGGAAATTCTCCCTACCTCAGGATGAACTCACATCGGTTGGCTGAAAAGACATTTAGTCTGACATTTACAAAAAAGACACACTGCAGCTCAACAGCCTCACACTTTTTCAGTGCTTGGTATTGCAGAAATATTTTCCCATTAAGTTTTTCCATAATCTTCGTGATTATGTAATGTCATATGTTAACGGGAATTTTGCAATCGAAAATCTGTCTGGAAGTTTTTTAACATTGTTTTCTCTATGGACAGTTTTAATGGGATTTTTCTAATGTAATCCCGCTGTTGGACCTATACACAAGTATTTATTTAAGTACTAAAATAATAGCCCACAATGCTGTACTGTTGACAGTAAGGAATCGGAAAACAAGCTGAAGGAACATAATGAATTAGTGAATATTAAATGATCCTTTCAGCCTGCCAGGGGAAGCTCCGCCCCTCATTATGTCATGCATGTGCTCCTCAAGTAACCTGTGATTGGGTCCTTATTAACTGACTAAACCAGTCCTCTGTCATGTTGTTCTGTTTAATCTCATACGGGTTTATTTGTGTGTGAATGAGTGTGTGGTTGTGTGGTGTAATACTTGAAACAGCGTCATGTTGGTCTTATTGTGTCTCTTGCTGTACTGGGTATTTGTGTGGTGTGGTAGTTGTTGTGTTTGTAATTGTAATTTTTTTTTATTTTCTTTTGTGACAATGGAAGTTGTTTAACCCGCCTGATGGCGGTCTAACCTTTGTATGACATTATTTTGGTTTCAGTGATTGTTTCCCTGCATTAATGCTTTGCATTCTGCATGCTGCTATGCTAGTTTTGCATGTTTATCCTTTCCAAAAGCTTTTGGGGTCAATTTGTGATGGTTGTAATAAGTTTTTGGGGAGGCTGTAGATAGGAGGTACTCACCAGCATTAAACTTGCTTTCTGTTCTTCTCAGCTGTCAGAGGATTCCTCGACTGACACATACAGGTAAAGTGCTCAATATGATCAAAAGGAATGTTCTGGGTTCAACACAAGTTAATTCTTAAACATCTGCGTTTACCGACAAATTCGCCCAAAATAATTACATCTGTAATGTGAAACCAAAAAGTACATCTGACAATTCATTGGACAATTTTGGCTTTCTAATAGCAGAGATAACACATTTTGAATGGAAAATATAAATCCATTCATAGTTGCTAATGCATTTATAAACACTTTTTTATATTAAAAAAATATAGTTTACATTAAATTAATGTTTGTTACAATTATTTATGATTATTTCTCTTTTACTCTTAAACAGAGAACAGTCCAAATTTCACAGGTTTTCAACAGGCTTTGTATTGTAAAAGTACAGATTAAACATCTGCAGTCTTGTATTTCCACCTATGGACAGTCTGGTGCCCAAATCAAAATGAATTGCGGGTGTTAACGTTTTTGTCAAAAGGGAATGCCACAGCCCTTTTTCTCTTGCCATGTAGCACAGATTTCAGAAAATGTTTCCCCTTTCTACTTCATAGACAGCCCAGTTTTATTAAAAGCCAAAATCGGCAGCTATCAGTTACAGTGATTGACAGCATATCTGACATTGAGTACTTGTTTGAAATCCAGAACATTTCTTAAACCAGGATTCACATCAGCATTTTATTTGGTCTAATATTATGAGTGAATCATTCCTGGCCACCAGATCCTCCTCTGATTAGGATGGTTCTTTGGTGCATATGAGTTTGATTTGGTTTAGGGTTGGTGTTGGTGTTGTGTACAGAATGATCTGGGTTTGGTTTGGTTATTTTTGATGAATCAATCAAATAAGAGATGTACACCGTTGCTAATCACATCTTTCCTATTCAACTGTTAAATACATTTCTACACGTGTGCTAAAGAGTTTTGTGTGGTGATGTTTTTGTGCACCGCAGATGGCTGCTGTCACACCTCTCTCCTACAAGCATCTGAAGGAGCGCTACTGATGGGCACGGACAGCCTTGGGTTAAGACTACTGACCGGACCCTCACATCTGCCGGGGTCGCTGCCCTTCTCCCTGCCTGTTTAAATTAAACATGACAATGGAACCAATTTAAACTGCTTTTCTGTTACATCTTATCCTAAAGCCTTCCATTCCAGCACGATTCCTCAAGAACTGTTTTCACACCGTTTTCTGCCCTGCCCTACTGCCAAACTCTCATATTCAACCCTACCGGGATGAATGTGTCGTCAGTAGCGCTCGACTGCTACAGAATGTACCAACATCCTTATTGGTTCTCTTGCATGATCGCCCCAAAAAAGTCCCATAAATGCCACTTTCCATACTTTGTAGGCAGACAGTCGGCTCCTTTTGTGATCGGTTACCAGGTGTGATCACAATCCCAAATCGTAGTTTAGAGTTTTGTGATATGTAGCTGTTCGAGATCCCTAAATGTGAGCTCTCTAAGATGCTGCACTGCGGGCCCTGACCCTATGGGTATAAAAGCTGCCTTTCAACAACTTGCTGTTTGTTCGACCACATGGAGTTCTGGGATATCCCACGGAGCCCAACAACTCTGTATGTGTACTTGTGTGTGTATGTGAGAAATCGAAAATCAATTTCAGATTTTCTTCTTATAAGGTATTGTCACAGTCTTTCGATGTTACTCTTTGTTGAAACGGGGATCAGTTTACAGTTGGGTTACAAATTGTACTAGTGGAAAAAAAAGTGTGGAAAATGTTGCTTGATGCCAAAAAAAAGAGAGAGAATCCATTAAAACGGGCGACCGGCTCTCTTCAGTTTTTCGTTGAAGGTGAATTATCCATTGTTACAGCATATGCTAGGATTGGTTCTCGATGCAAAGTTAATAGCATATTTCAGAGTGAGTCAGAGTTAAGCATCCATTCACTTTTTAGCCATTAATGACATATATATTGAATGTGTCAGCTTTATATACCAGGCCAGTGCTCCAAAACACGCTTTCACGTCCACGTGCACACATTTCACTTTTGAGGAAATTGAATGAATCCGATGCCTATTGAAAGTCATGTCTGCCCTCTAGTGGTTTGGAGGGCTTGTAATCTTCATTCTACTTTCTTTGCTTCTGAATACATTCCATTTCTATGTGCCATAATTTCAAACACTTTTTAGATTATAATTGAATTATTTGTGATTCTATTTGACATATTTATTGTACATTGTAATTATTCTCACAAATGTTGCATTTTTGTCAGAGGTATTTCTTTCTCTTTTTAAATTAATCATTACCAGCTTGTGCCAACTGATTTTTTTATTTTATTATTATTTTAACCTGTGCAATCCGCTGTTGAACAGATTGAGTTTCTATATCCAGACCCTGTAGACCAGCAGCTCTGGGCTCTTTCTCTGATCAGAGATCAGTCCTATAGACCCTCTCTTAATATATGGTGTGTGTGAATGAAACTGAAATCTCTGTGTCCCTTTAAAATGAATGAACTATTCCATTCTTCTTTCTGCTTGTAGCCCAAAATGGGTGTTAAAAGAGCCACTGCCTGGCATGTTCTGTAATCGGGCACATTTTTATGTTATGTTTCTCCTAAAACAATACCATATGAAAGATGCCCCATTCCTGCTTCAGCTATCTTCAAGCGTGTATGTGGATTATCCAAGGGAAAGTGGTGTGTGTTAGACCTCTGACTGTGTCATGATGCTAAGCATCTTAAGCTCAGCTCCCAATCTTGGGCCAGGCTTAATCCAGCTGTATCACAGCCCTGTGATAAATTAGCTTTCCAGAGAAAATATATCGGAGCTCTATTTACATTTGCTTTCAGCTAGACAGGGGAGGCCAGTTGGTGTGATGTTTAATTGTGAACAGTAGTCCAACGTGAGCCCATTATTGTTTTTCTCGGTGCATGTGTGACTATTAATGCCACCACTGGACTGAACCCTGGTGAGCACATACACACTCACACCAAGATGAAGACACATCCATGTGTTTGTTAAGCTCAGTTTGGGAGGGGAAAACAGAACTTGCCTGCAATGTTTGAAATTTCCAAACAGACCTTTAAATTACGTCAGAGATGCTATTTTCAAAGCTTATAATAATTCTTGGATTCTCATGTTGCCTGAAATATATATATAAATATTTGATTGTATTTTTAATGAAACTTTTTGAGCCACTTTTCGTAAAAAAAAAATGAAAACGTCAAAAAAAAAAAAAAAAGGCTGAAAAAGGCGGCCTGATTGTGGAGCATGAGGCAGGGCTCAGATGCATTGCTGTGAAATGAATCAGGCACTAGCACGGTCAGCCCTGCTTCCTCCATCCTGTCCCTCAGGCTCCAGCTGATCTGAATGTACCTCTCAAGACCAGTCTGTTTCAAACTTTTTTTCTTTAATAAAAGCTGTTTTGAAAGAAGACATTTGTGTCTGAAGTTTTATATTTTTTTCTAAACCATGTAGAAATGTTATACATGTGCTTTATAGGGCTTCAGAGTAACTAAAACAGCATCATAATATTTGTTTAAAAATGAATTCGTCACACTATAGGACTTAATGGACAAAAGCTTAAAAAAAAGTTACTAATTTAAAAACAATTGTAACCAGTTACAGCACCTAGAGTGACATAATAGTTGTTTTGTTGTTTTTATTTGTTTGTTTGTTGGTTTATTTATTATTTTGTGCATTAAATGTGCATCTATGTATACCTTTATCTTAATAAAAATAATGTCTAAAATCTTAATGTTCATAAGTAAACATTGAATTCATAATAATTATAATAACTAAAGCAATACTAGCAGCCAAATGCTCACCATGGCTGTATTTATTTGATAAAGTACAGTAAAAAGTAATATTTTAATGTGATGGCAGCTAAGTTTTCAGCAGCCATTACTCCAGTCTTCAGTGTCACATGATCCTTCTGAAATCATTCTATTATGCTGATTTTCAATGTTGAGAACGGTTGTGCTGCTTAATATTTTTGTGGGAACTGATACACTACCATTAAAAAGTTTGCATTAAATTGATCAAAATTGATTGTAAAGATAATGTTTTTATAATGCATTTATAATGTTACAAAAATTTATATTTTAAATTAATGCTTTTCTTTGAATTTTTTTTTCATCAAAGGATCTAAACTGCTTTCAACATTGATAATAGTAAGATATGGAAATCTGCATATTAGAATAATTTCTGAAGAATCATGTGACACTGAAGACTTATCTTAATTATTCCAAACATTTGACCCTCAGCTCATATAATAACAACACTTAAGCAAAATTTTGATGAAATTCTTGCCCATGGTATTTTTCTGGTATTGTCCTGTATTTGTCTTCAGAATTTAAAGTTAGTCTCTCCAAATCTGTCCAACAATTGCAGAGCATGTGCATAATGAATAAAGACTGCAATGCCATATGTTATTTCAAACCAGCAGTGTCTCATGGGCATAAGATGCAGTTGTAGATGCATAAATAGTGTGTTCTTTGACAACAATGCCTCTTATTCATGTAGCTGTTTGTCTTTGTGCAATTTTCCCACGCGTCATACTTTTCTGTATTGTGAACAATGAAACTCCTTAGTCTAGGAAGAAAAAATAGTTTTGCTGTCGATAGTGATATTCAGAACAGTCTCCCTGTGTGTGTGTTTGTTAGTTAGAGTAAGGGTGAGAATGTGTGTAATACAGCATGCAGGGATCTAGCAGTGAGAAGAGAAACATAATTTAAGCCACTGCCTGTGAGAGAAAACTGACCAATGAGGAGGGTGGAGATCAGCAGGGGGCGGAGTCTAAACTCGACAGCAGAGAAAGTCAATGGGGAGGGAGTTGGCAGAGTGTCAATAGTGTGTGTCTAAGAGTGATGCAGATTTGACGCACTCTAACTCATGGGAGTTTGCAGCCGGAGGGAGTGTGTGCGGTGTGTTTTTAAAGAGGGCAGACCGTCAGCACTGTGGACAGGAAACCCTTTTAATCCGATTCACTTTTGGGACAGGACCTCATCCTCTCTGCCCCTCCCTGATGTGTGTGTGTGTGTGTGTGTGTGGTTTTTGTAAGCTGAGATGTGATATTGCAGTGCCACTATCGGCTGCAGCAGGCTGTTTGCCATAGATATTTCCGGATCCCGTTTCCTCCAGCGGGGGGTCTCTCTGGATGCACTTGCTCCTGCTCAAGGTGACTTGGGGAGTCCAGAGGCGTGAGTGGCGGCACGGAGCTGAAGTCAAGCCTCAGTTGGGACTTGTTCAGAGGAGGTAGTGAGATGAATCCAGGGTGGAGTGGGATGTGAGGGCCTGACGGGCCCAGAGTCAAGTCACTCCTCTCCGGGAACAGCCAGGGAATGGACCCGGCCTCTCCTCAGGAGCCCGAGAAAGACATGGAGGGCTATTACAACCTTTTGCAGGCAGGCTTGGAGCTGGAGAACACACTGCAACGTGAGTATATGCTCATATATGTCTGCCATATATAACTGCCATTTTTGTTCACAACGACATCAGTTTCTCAGGATGTTCATTGGCGTTTTATGTAGTATTGCAAGGATTATGTTTGCTATTTATACCTTAATGGAGTTTTATCCATAACCTAGATTTGATATTTGATAATCTGCTTGAATGGACTGGACTCAATCTTTCTGTAATTGAAAAGCAGAGGAATTCCAGAACCTTGTATTTTTCTATGGTAACCTTTTCCTGAAACCTTAATATTAAACGAGTGTTTTGATGGACAGTAAGCTGGCAGTTTAGAATCATGCAATGTGAATTTGGGCCAGTAGCGAGATTGAAGGATGAAAATAGAAATTGTACTGTCCGTATTACAAATGGGCGCCAAGACACAGGAAGTGGAGCACTGATATTAACCCCCTGCCCTGCTCTCTGGCTCTCAGTTTGGCTTTAAACCCAGAGAATGCTCTTTAGACCATGACTCAGCATCTTCATTTTAGCCACCATGTCTTTCCTCAGGCACTTTAATGCATTTAAAGTCTGAATCACTCCATTCTGCTGTGTGTTATGTAATATTTACTTTATGATGCTTCGGTT